GGAGGTTGGCCCTGGCCCTTTGGATTAGCCCTCTCTCTATTAAGCTACTTCCTACTGGCATCCCTGGGATGTAGACAACTATCCCCATTTTACAGCCAGGGAACGGGGGCACAGAGATGCTGACAATTTGCCAAAGGCCGCAGAGCACAGCGGTTAACAGCAGCCCTGTGGTTAGAGCTCCTGGTTCCAAACCCTCTGCTCAAGTCCACGGGATCCTATAGCTTCCAGCTCGATACTGTTCAGGTGCTTTTGCCTGGCGGCATCACAGAGCAGCTGAAAGATGGAAAATCCAGTGTGAGCTCCTTACATGCAGGACAACAGGCAAAATTCAGTAGAGGCTCTGAAGGAGGAACATGTTACGGGGTTCTAACGCCTAGGGGAGCAACAGGGCCTGGACGCAGCCGAGCCACATTGCAAAGGCAATGGATTGGACTTCCGGGGATCAAATCCATAAGTCAACTGGAGCTGTGTTCCACTCCACATGATGCACAAAGCATCATGCAGCAGGGACTACAAGGGCCATGCAGAGAGTGAGGCAGGCAAGGAGACAAACTGGACTTGCTCACGGGAGAGGTACATTGAAGGTGTGGAGATAAAGCGACACAGCTATGCAGGCTGGAGCGTGATCACACGGTTTCCGTAGAGAAGGAGGAGGAGTCAAGACTCCTCGGCTCATACATTAAGGGCAAAATTAGTGATGGTTGAGATCCAGCTCCTAGTTAGTCTCATCTCTTGACTCTTGGTGGAGCTTTGAACTAGAGCTGTCTCTACCCCTGGACTCAGTTTCCATCATGGCCACTGTTGTCTGACCCTGAGCAAGTCAGTCAATCCCCATGGCTCACTTTCCCCTCTGTAAGATTGGGCTAACATTGCCTTACCCATCTCCTGGAGCGGTTCAAAGGTTAAGGTTCTGAGATGCTCAAACAAAGGACCAAGCCTGCTCCCTTGACATCCGACGCGGAAGGGATCCTGTCTCACGTAACCCATTGCTCTACTGAAGCATTTGTTATTCCCTACAGAACACTCTTGGTGTGTCTGGCAGAGTCTTGAAGAAGCTTCTCACAGCTCCCTTGATAACGTCACCACAGTCGAATAAACTCCACGTGACAATAAAGTTTCCCATTCATTCACAATTCAACTTTGCCCCATGGATTCACAGTCAGGGACACAACACCATTAGTCTTTCTTTCTACTCTGCCCTAGATGGATCAACCCTCTTGAGCACTCTGGTTGCCTGGAAGGAAAGGGACATGTCAACCAGTTTAACCTTCAAGCTCACTTACTGAACAATATTACTTTAACCAGAGCTTCCGTATGTGGAATCCTCATTTTAAAAACACTGACAAAAATCCTTCTCCCTGGTCCTACCAAGTCCTCTCTGTTAGCGATCAAAAGAGTTGAAATGTCCCCCGGAATCCACTTTATTCATTCAGTTGTTTTTGAAGTTCTCATGTTTGATCTTTGTCTTTAAAACTTTTTTCATCTCTCTGTCCAGTGGGAAGAACACAGGAGCTCTTCTCCGGATTCAAAGAATCATGAGCTCTTTAATCTGACCCAGGAATGCATCCAGCATCAGTCGACAGAGCTCGTCAAAAATGTAGCCAGACCAACTGCTGTAAATCTACAGCGAGAAAGTTCCATTTAGCTGCATACCCCACATTATTTGTTTGTACATTGTGGGGACAGGCTAGGATGTGAGGCCTCTTAATTTCAGAAAGTGGCAAACACATTACCTCCAAAAATCAGGCTCCTTTAAGGTACCTTAAACTGGGCCCCCAAAAGTCACTGTTTGTTTTTGGTAAACTTGGCTACCATACCAGATTGACAGCATAGGTAATTCTACCCTGCACATTCACCCTAAAGCATCCCAAATCACTTCAATGCTCTTTCTATATAGACACATATACACACCTACCGAAATGCAGTTGAATAGTCAGGGCATAGCAAATTACAAAACAAAGCAGGAAGTATGAGGAGGGAGTTTCTGGCCAGGTTACCAAACTAAAGCCCTATGCTCTTCTGAAAAGTGGCCCCAGGCCCTCTGGCATTCCTAGGGCAGTCTGGACTACTCTGCACTTCAAGATCTCAGTTGAAAGTTTTCCCCACCATCTAACCTGCAGGGAACTAGTTTTATTTCACTTGGAAAGCGGGGCTGTGTTAGCCAGGCCGAGCTCCCATCCTCTGGTTCCAGAGAGCATTTCAAGCCTGACACTTCAGATATCTAAACCATCCCCTTTGCTAGGCATGGATTTTTACGTACCTTTAAGGGCAGCCTCAGTGCTCAGGAGGATACATGATGCCTTTCAGGAGCTGGAGAAGATAGCCTCTTGCAGCACTGATTGCACATTACTGTCCTAGAGCCTTTGGACCTACCTACATACATCCATCGATTTTATGACTGGCCTGAATATCGAAATAGAACTCAAAAACTGAACACAAAACTCTCTCTTCCTGACCAATTCTTAGCCACCCTCTGAGCAAATGAGGCAAACTAGCTCAAAAAGTGGGTTCCTTAGTCCTCCACCAGGGTTCAGCTAGCAGGCATTGGCAGGGTGTCCTGGCCCGGCTCGCTACTGTATTTTACTGCTGCTTATAAGGGAGTTCAGTGAAGGAGGAAGTAATTAGGAAATTGTTTCTGGAATTTCCATCGCCCAATTATTATAGCAGCTTTCAGCTATTAGTATATTTTAACCTCTCTGCAATAAAAACCTGGAGCCCTATTAAATGTACTAATTGCCAAAGGAATGAACCAAGACAACTCTGGATTTTTTTAAAAAAAAAATATATATATATATATAAATGTAGTAGCCCTAGGTAAAAATGAAACCATTTTAACAGTTCATAGAAATAAACTAACACTGTTCAGCAAAAACTTCACATAAATAAGTTGATTAGCCCCCAAAAGAATATTTCCACACAAGAGGCGAACACCAATGCAAGCCCAGCCATTGTGTGTAGCTTCAAGGTGAACCAGTATTCCAACAGTACCAAATCTCTCCTTGGCCAAATACCAAAGGCTAGTGGCCGGCTCAGCATGGGTCATTAGGCTTGGTCAGAACAGGCTGAAGTAGAAAAGAGAAAGGAGAGGACGACAATTCAAGCATACTTCGGTCCTGGCCCTTCCCACTAGCAAATGCAGCGACACTTGCAATCAAGTCATTGGCAAAACTCCAATTGACTTCACTGGGAGCAGGGCCGCATCCTTAGAGACTAGCCTCAGCTGCAAAGTTCGGACCCAAACTTGTCCGAAGTTCAAGGAAGTTGGGATCAGGACCCTCACTGAAACCAACATAGGGTGAATGCTGTGGTCAGGGGTCATACGTGACACATTCATGATGTGTCTTTGTAACTACCCCTAGCTCCCTTCAAGGTTTTAAGCTTTCCCTGCCCACACTGACCATCTTCATGGCACTGTTTGCGGAGTGGTCTCCACAGCATCTGAGGCCAACCAGCCAGTTTCTTCGGGCTGGGACACTCAGCCAGGATTTTACACAGTAACAATCTAGGCACCCATTTTTAAAGCATCGTAAAAGAGAAACAGAGGAGATTGTTAAATAAAGAACAGTTAAACAGACTGAGTGCAGCAAATAGCACTAAGCAAACAAGCTCATCACCTATCCTTTAAGTATTGTGTGGTGCATGGGCAGAAGTCTTGTTCTACCCCACAGATTGCTTGTTTCCCTTCATTCTGCTCTCCAGATTTGCAAGGCAGCATATGTCCCACTTAGGTTTCAAGGAAATGCTGGAATCTGGTAATGTACAAGATTACTGTGGATCTTGTTATGGCAAAAACAGACTCTCTGATCTCCCACAAACCCCAAAGGATCTAGAGTTAGTTACACATTCTGTTGGGGGGGACTGCATCCTTTGCTGGATGACTCAAAACAACACAGGTAGTAAACTCTCTTGTTTGGATTACCACATTTTAATGCCATCAGTTGACCTAGCCAAGGTGAAGTAGATGAGTGTAGAAGGGTGTAGATCATGTAGTCTTAGCATGGATTTAGCCTCCAAATTCTTTCAGAGGGCAACCTTGGTATTAGAGAATGCAAACTACATCATGCAAGGCTAGAACGGTCTTTCGTTTGGCATGTTGAGTGTAGGTGACTGCATCCTGGAGCACGTTCTCCAGAACACAAATCTCCTTGTAAATCAGATGCGAGATATACTTCACACCCCCATGGTGAGCTAGATGATGAATGGCTGGCTTAGCAATGCCCTGGATTTTCTTAGAACCTTCCTATGGAAATTGACGACTTACGACCAGACTTATTGACTAGGAATTGACAGGTATTGACAGGTTACAGAGCAAAGAGGGAAGTTTTCAGGCTGAAACATTGCCAAGCAGAAGTCCTGAGAGGTGTGTGGTTGAAACTCAGAACCAAAGTATCCCAGCTTGGGACCCTAACTCTCTTCTGTAACAAAGTATCAGTTAAGCCTCCACAGTTGAGGTTGAAATATTTTGTTGGAACATGATGAAAAATGGTTTTTCAACCAAAAAAACCAAACCATTTTCATGTTTGACTTTTTTTAAAAAATTTGACTTTTTTAAAAAAATTGACTTTTTTAAAAAAGAAAACTACAAAGTGAAAGTTTCTTTTTTGGTAAAATGTTTTGGTCTTCAATTTTTGAAAACCAAAGTCTTAAAAAAAACCAAACCCCCACATTTTAAAAAAGTTTTCTATCAAAAAATATTTTCCATAGGAAATATTGACAAATTATCACTTTTAGAAGTTACTTGTGGAAAAAAATGGCATTTTAAAACTTGTTCTAGTCAACACTCCGGCAGAGTGGGTAAATATTATACCTAGTTACAGAAATATAGACCAAGGTTAAATGCAACTTGCCCTAGAGGTCACAAGACCAATGGCAAAACTGGGAATGGTATGCCCTATCACTGGCTTTAACGGTCAGACAAAAATTGTGTCTACAGTAGTGCATCACAACGCACCCTCTTGAATTGTGGGAATATGTGCACACACAAAAACCATCCAGATCTGTTTGGTAGTGAAAATATAATTTTATTTTTAGCTGCCCGCAATATACTGGTATATCTGTAAAAGATGATCCATAAGCATACTACAATAAATTGTATGGACTTGTCAAGTATTTCTGCATACCATGCCCCAATTCCAGATGTCCAGTTCTCGGAGTTTGCATCTCTCCCCACTTCGTCCCACCCACATACAAAAAGCAAGAATTAGTGTCACAAGCTAAGTGGGCTTACTTGGGATAGATAAAGTTTTGTTCTGAAGATGCTCATTTAACACGTTCAAATCATTATCTGAATGGCAGAGTGTACATTTTGCTGTTCTTAGCCACTGTGTCCTACATGGAGATAGATATCCGTGGGTTTGGCTCAACACATAGTTTTTTTCAACGTGTCTGTTCCTTTGATATGAAAAGCTAATTTGCTTCTTTAGCATAGAAAGTTGATTGCATCTTTATCTTATCACGGAACTGCACAGAATTCTTTTCAATCAGTTTAAACAGACCCGTTCCAGAAAATTACCAATTTTATGGGAAAAATAGAATTATGCAACTACACAGCTGCAGTAGTCCATGTGGGACTTCGAATGCCAGAGAAAAACAGACACATAGGAAATGTTTGCAGTGCATGAAATCATTTCAAGGTTCACATGCATCCCGCTCAAACAGTTTTGCACATGCAGGAAGTCTTTTCCAGAAAGGAAAACTTTGTTTAAAAACCAAATTCATGTGTATACCTTGTTCTCCAGTCAAAGTGGGAGGGAATGAGGACAGGGAGTTTCCCATTAATAAGGGTTACTGTAAGTGCTGGTGATTGGGGTCAGACTGAAAAATACATATAGCACAGATGGCCAATCCCGCCACACACCACCCTGCCAACGCCCTGCGGTTCTGACCTGGAGTGACTACCTGTAGAGGTGAAAGATGTTCAGTCTCCACTAAGCTCTATACGGAGGATGCCAACAAATGGGACAGCTATAGTGATGCAATGCAATGGGAAATCAGAAAGACAGCCACTCATTTCACAGAGGTCAGCAAGCGGCCACCACATGGCATATCCCCTTTCAGTTACTAACCAACCAGAGGCTCATTTGAACTGTGACTATAAGGGAAAAAGCTCGTTTTTAGTTGCCGTCCAACCTCTGACACTCAATAGCTCATTGTGTTAAGACAAGCAATACATCAATGGGTGCCAGAGACAGCACGAGCTTTAACTTGGTTCCCAAGCTTTTAACCATGTCAGCCATTAAAATTACTTCGTTGTAGCATATTATATTCAACGTGTTTTGAGGATGATAATTAGATTTTTCAAGGGAAATTACAAAGCATCTATGGTTTATACTAGATTACAGGCCTGATATTTTAACAAGGTAAACGTGTACAGGCATGCTTTTTTGTGGCCAATTACCACAACTGAGTGTGCAAACTGGGTCACTGTATATACAAATGGTTAATTATGATCGTGTGCATCCACAGTTACCCAGCACACACAAGCTGTGTGCATACTGAGTGCCTAATCTGTTTACAAAAAAATTGGGCCTGATCACTAATTAAACAACTCCAAAGGGCCATCCTGATCTAAATTTAATAGATTAATTTCAATTGACTAAACCATACCCAGAATTAAACCGATTCCTATATTCCATTTTTAGTTGAGCATCTTAAGCTATACAAAGGCAAAAAAGCACCAAACCAATAAACTCCCATTGTTACCCTCCATGTATTAACAACAAAACCAAACTAGGTTTTAATCTGACAAAAAATGAAATAATTCCCCTCTCTGGACGTAGCATTGGCAAGTATTAAACCCCTAAAGAAGATTTTTACTGCTAGACAAACTTTATTCGTGGTGTGAATGGGCCTTTAGGATACAGTGAATATAAGAAGGCTACAAATCATTTTCTAACCAGGCTGCTCTGTAGATTTTCCTTTCAGTTCCTGAACGCCCCTGCAATAAATCATAATAGGGCTTGATTTTAAGCATATCGATCGCTGTCTTTGAAAAGACAGGTAACAATTGAGAGTTGTTACAGTAATGGAATTCTAGACCTAAGAAGGCAAGACAAAGGCACCATAAGCCACGTATACAAATATGGAGTACTCTATCACTTATTTCAAGCTAACTTTATGGATATATGAAATAGCAAAAGCAGGATGCTTAGAAAGTCATGCTATTTTTCATAAAACTAGTGCTTACCAAAATGTTAGTGTATAAAAGTGTGTTTCTGTGAGCATTTTCATGTTATTGCAGTAGGTTTAATATTGGAAAAACAACCTACAAGGAATAGCACTTTCCAGACTTCTAAAATCAGTTAAATATAAAAAAGTATCATTACAAAAAATATGTTAATGCTCTTTGGAGTAGGGGGTTTGATGGCCTCTAAAATAACCTAGTAATTTATTTCATGCATCAAAACCTTGCCTTTTTGTTTTAAACAAGAAAACTATTCCCTGGTTTAGAAATATTTGAAAATTGCTTTTTAAAAAATTGCAGTGCTATTCCTCAGTGTTGCTGCAGCAAACCTAAACGGATAGTAGTGCAATGATTACGGTTATGCAAAACTGTCGTCCAGGTATGTAGACAAGTGACAGTCAGGGGATAAATTAATACGTAGGAAGGCTGGCACTTCACAGAGCATTATTTTTAAAGAGAAAACAAGAGGGCTTTTCTTTTAGAAAAATGCATACTGTATGTTAAGGCAAATATTCGCTTTTAAAGGTCACTTAAACATGCTTCAGAAAAAATATCTTTAAAGAAATTCTCAAGATTTCTACTCTAGTTGCTGTGTGTTCAGTCTTGCATTGCTAATCATTGCACTCCTAGCTATCATATACAGTAGCTATTTTCAACTAGAACCCTAAATTTTACATGTACATTGTTTACGACAGCACAGTTTTCCTAAATAAATGTTACTAAGACGACCTACATAGAACAAAGGCTCTTTACTACCAAAAAAGCAGCCACTTGCAGTTCTTAAAATGAACCAATGGTGGATGTCTAGCTCTTTTGGTTTCTTCATGATGTGCCATCAAAATGACCTTCTGCTAACTGTATCTGGTGAGACCCAAAACTCCGTTCAGACAGCACCGTTTGTTTTTTAAACTAGTGCTCATCGGGCTCCAGAAGGCCCATACCTAAACATTTTCTCTGACAGGCCCCTAAACAAAATTCAGACCAAGATCCCAACTCCTGCAGTTTGGGGCATTCATATCTGGGTCTGTGGTGGCCATATTTCTGGGGTCTTTTGTTTGTAATCCAACAGTATTTTGTTTTCTTGTTAAAAAAATTGCCAAGTATTCTGCAAAAGGCTTTTTTGGAAATAAGATCCTTTGGTATACGGCTGGGATAAACAAGCAGGTACAGATCAATATGTTGTAGATAACTATTTTATCCTACATGCAGACCTTTAAGAAGTAGTAAATTCCAAAATACATAAATATTTCTTGTACCATATACCAAGAGAATATTGTGGACCAATTAGTGAATTTCAAAAAAGAGTGTCTACACAGAAATAGACCAAATGTTTGCAAGTTTAGCTATAGTTAATAGATAAGAAAAGGAGTGGAGAAAAATAACCCTTTATCCTGGGGTGTCTAGAGTACCCCAATGCAACATTAAACACAAATTGTATTAATGATAATCTTCGTATTTGCTGCTATAGAAGGTAAAGAAAAACAAGACTCATTACTCCTGTTTTGCGAACTTTAGGTAATTACTGTACCTGCTCTATCCAACGTAACATTGAATAACTGCAAATTCATGCAAAATAAATTGTTATTTTATATGCAAAAGAGCAGTCTGTTAGGAGAAGCATTCTGTTATGGAATATGTGAGAAGTCATCTCTTTTGCAAGTGCTGATTAATTAGTGAGTCTCTTGGCTACATCGCTGTAAGCTATTTCAATCTCTTTGTCTCCGGGACAAGTATTGGTGAATTCATCCCTGCTATAGGCATTGGTCAGGTATCTCCAAATCCCTGTCATTTCCTTGGGAATATCAAAATTGCGATATTTTTTGGCAACCACCTAAAACAAAAAAAATATACACAATGACTACTTCATGTCCTTTAAGTTACATCAATTCTTCCATTCTTTGTCATACTATCCTCACAGAGTATAAACCCTACAATGTAACTTCCATTAAAGGTCAAAATCAGTACATCTTGCCCTTCTGGTATGTATGTAGACCTGGTGGTACACTATATGCTTCAGGAGTACTTGTGGCACCTTAGAGACTAACAAATTTATTAGAGCATAAGCTTTTGTGGACTACAGCCCACTTCATCAGATGCATAGAATGGAACGTATAGTAAGGATATATTACTCTCTCTCTCACACACACACACACAGAGATGGTGGAAGTTGCCATACAAACTGTAAGAGGCTAATTAATTAAGATGAGCTATTATCAGCAGGAGAAAAAAACCTTCTGTAGTGATAATCAAGATGGCCCAGTTTTTCCGAGGACAATGAGCAAACTAGTACTACAGATTAACTATTGCTACAGCCAGGCATATAAATTTAACCTGGGGCTCCATCTGCAGCGTGAGACTGCCTAGAACAGTGCAAGGGAAGGGGAACAGAAGTCAGACCATGGTAATAAAAAAGAGAATAAATGGACACAAATCAGATGTCCAGAATTTTAATATTCATAAACCAGTCGGAGAACACTTCAATCTCTCTGGTCACTTAATTTCTGACCTAAAAGTGGCTATTCTTCAACAAAAAAACTTCAAACACAGATTCCAACGAGATCATCACTACAAAAGGTCCCCGTCCCCCCCTCCTGCTGGTAATAGCTCATCTCTAAGGTGCCACAAGTACTCCTTTTCTTTTTGGTAATAAAGAAAAATCTTCATTTTTGCGGAGTTATGCTCTCCCATCTCTTTCAGGTGTGTCTAACTTGTCCTCTGGTCCTATATTTGGCATTGTGTAATTTACTTGTATTACTAAGGCCATTTTCTATACAGACAGAAAAAACATGTGCTTAATGAAACATGGAAAAACTGTAGTCATATGGTTCTTCTTTCTTAAAGTCTCATGACTTCCTTGTTTCTACAGCACATTAAAATCTGGCTTGACTTGGGCCACAAATCTTTTTATCTTAGTTATCTATTAGGTGTCACAGTAACTAAGGTAGGCACAGAAGCTTCACACACATTTCAAGAATCTTTCATTAAATTATTATGCAGTGTGTTAATATTGTGATTACACTTAACAAAGACTTATGTATTCAGTCTTATTTACCAAGTTCCTTGCAATGGGATGGGATCCAGGATCTTGTACATTTTTTCTATTATATACACTATAAGAAATGTAACTGAAATGACTGTAGTCCCTCCCAATAAAATCATTTACCTTGACAATGTGTAGTTTAGGTAGCAGGTTGCAGTCTGCTAATGTCATCTCATTGCCATCCAGAAACTTGCGGGTAGAAACTGTGATATCCTCCATGCTGTTCTCATCTATCTCATCAGGGAGAGGAGTGTTCAGGTACTCATCCAGTTTCTGCAGAGTTTTCAAGAGGCTACGTTCCAAAGCTGCAGGAAAGGAATACAGTTTTATGTGAGAACAATAAAGAGGAAGGAAGGAAAGCAAGCAAGCCATAAAGCAGTTTTCAAAGAGTTATCAATCTATTCGCTATTGATATCTATATAGGAAGCACGTCTGGTTCTTGCATCCTCTTCCTGATGTAATGTAAGAGAATTGGCTAAGCTTAAAGCACCTCAGTAATGCACGAAGCAGGGATTAGTTTATAGACCCAATCTGTATTTTACAATTCATGTTTTAAGAAAAGTATGAATTCAGGACTTGTATATTAAGTGGAAAGAAGTGTGTATCTACAAAATTCCAATCTCCAGATTTCACCTTTTTACTCATCTCCTTGTACCTACTGCAGTACAGCAGATGCACTTTATAATAGTTACTTGGCACTTATGTAGCCCTACACACCACTGAGGCTGCTTACATGAATGTGAATTGCTGTGATACCCACGGCAGTGCCAAACCACTGAAATAGACATTCAGTCTCCTTTGCCACAGCTATCATGGCAAAGTCCGTCTTAAATCAGCATTAGTGGTAGCTGGTAGCATTAGACACCGAATTGAAATCTGTGCTACCGACCAAAACAGGACAAACTGAAGTTTAAGCGGAAGTTCAATCTTAGGTCTTGTCTACATGGAAACTGACACAAAATAACTAAATCAGCTGTAATTCACACCTTCAGCACACGTCTGCGTGGATGCACTTATTCTGGAATAAGAGATCCCTATGTCAGGATAGGGCTCTCTATTCCAGAACAAGTGCATCCACACAGACATACACTCAAGTGACTAAAGGTATAAATTAACAGCTGATTTAGTTATTTCAGTGCCAGTTTCATGTAGACAAACTCTTAGCTCTTCCTTGTTTTTGTCAGTTTGACATAACTTAAAATCATTAAAATATAACCTGTAAGGGTTTATTGCTATTTAAGGTCTGGCCTAAATACAAGCTTGCACCAGTTTAGTTAAATCACTGCAAAACCCTGAGTGGACACTTCCTTTTCATTTAAGAATGGCTTATGTCATTTTATCTTAAATCTCTTCCTAACCAAAAAAAGAAAAGGAGTACTTGTGGCACCTTAGAGACTAACCAATTTATTTGAGCATAAGCTTTCGTGAGCTACAGCTCACTTCATCGGATGCATGAAAGCTTATGCTCAAATAAACTGATTAGTCTCTAAGGTGCCACAAGTACTCCTTTTCTTTTTGCGAATACAGACTAACACGGCTGTTACTCTGATACCTAACCAAAATAAGTCACACAAGATTTACTCTGATTTAACTAAATCAGAATCATACACACATAGGACTGGAAGGAACCTCAATAGGTCATCTAGTCCAGTACCCTGAACTCAGGCAGGACTAAGTATAACCTAGACCATCAGTGGCAGATATTTGACTAATCTGTTCTTTAAAACCTCCACTGAGGGGGATTGCACAACTTCTTTAAGTTACTTGTTTCTGTGCTTAACTATGCTTACTTAGCATTAGGAAGTTTTTCCTAATGTCCAACCTAAATCTCCCCGGCTGCAATTTAAGGCCATTACTTCTTGTCCTGTCCTCACAGAAGTTAAGGAGAACATTTATCAGCCTCCTCTTTATAACCACCTTTTATGTATTTGAAGATTTTCATGTCCCCCACCATCACCCAGTCTTCTCTTCTCCAGACTAAAGAAATCCAATTTTTTCACTTTCTTCATAGGTCATGTTTTCTAGACCTTTAATCATTTTTTGGTGCTCTCCTCTTGACTTCCTCCAATTTGTTTGCAGAATTGGACAATATTCCAGTTGAGGTCCTATCAGCACTAAGAAGAGTAGAATTATTTCTCAGGTCTTGCTTACAACACTCCTACTTATACAGCCCAGAATGATGTTGGCTTTCTTTGCAACAGTATTACATTGGTGACATTTGGTTTGTGATCCACTCTCACCCCTAGATTCTTTCCTGTAGTACTCGGTCCCAGACAGTCATTTCCCATTGTGTTTGTGCAACTGATTGTTCCTTCCTAAGTGTAGTACTTTGTATTTGTCCTTATTGAATTTCATCCTATTTACCTCAGACCATTTCTTCAGTTTGTCAAAATCATTCTGAATTCTAATCCTGTCCTCTGAAGTACTTGCAACCCCGCCAAGCTTGGTATTGTCTGCAAACTTTACACATGTACTCTCTATGCCATTATCCAAACCATTTATGAAGATATTGAACAGAACCAGACCCAGGACAGATGCCTGCAGGACCCACTCAATATGCCCTTCCAGCTTGACTGTGAACCATGGATATGCTTCTCCAACCAGTTGTACACTCACCTTATAGCAGGTGCATCTAGGCTATATTTCCCTAGTTTGTTTATGAGACAGTCATATGAAACGGTATCAAAAGCCTTACTAAAGTCAAGATATATCACTTCTACTACTTTCCCCCTAGCCACAAGGCTTGTTACCTTGTCAAAGAAGGATATTAAGTTGGTTTGACATAATTTGTTCCTGACAAATCCATGTTGACTTATTTATCACCCTATTATCTTCTAGGTGCTTACAAACTGACTGCTTGATTATTTGCTCCATTATCTTTCCAGATACTGAAGTTAAGTTGACTGGTCTATAATTCCCTGGGTTATCTTTATTCCTCTTTTTATAGACAGGTGCTATATTTGCCCTTTTCCTAGACTTCACAAGTTCTCAAAGATAACTGCAAATGGCTCAGACATCTCTTCAGCCAGTTCCTTAAGTATTCTAGGGTGCATTTCATAAGGTCCTGCCAACCCGAAGATATCTACCTTGTCTAATAGTTCTTAACTTATTCTTTTCCCATTTTAGCCTCAGATCATACCCCATTTACACTGATGTTCACTATATTAATTGCCCAATCACTTACGGTTTGTTTGTTTTTTTGGTGAAAACTGATACCAAAAAGGCATTTAACATTTCACATGTTGCTGCATTTTCTGTTATTGTCTTTCCCTCTTCATTGAGAAATGGGCCCATCATGTGATTGGTCTTCCTCTTGCTTTTAATGTATTTGTAAAATGTTTTCTTGTTACCCTTTCTGACCCTAGCTAGTTTAATCTCTTTTTTGCCTTGGTCTTTCTAATTTTGTCCCCACACACCTGTGGTTTTTTTGTAGTCATCCTTCATAATTTGACCTTGTTTCCACTTTTTGTATGACTCCTTTTTTGAGTTTCAGGTCGCTGAAGATCTCCTGGTTAAGCCAGGGTACTCTCAGTTTTGAAAGCACATGTTAAATTTGTTGCAACTCTGCATGCAGGTAAGTCTGAACTCTTGAAAACGCAAATTAATCAAAGACAACAGCAGAGGGCAGTATAGCCCATAAAACCAATGCAAACCTAGTTCTACAACACTGGTTATATTGGAGGAATTTTATCTCTTTTCTAAATGTAAACACTGCAGAAAAATAGTAGGATTGTGTGTTTTACTTACATTCTCATGCAACAACCATTTAGGAATAAAAGAAGACTCCTTTGATGATTCAAGGGTCCAATCCTGCATGGCTCATGGCTTGTCAATCTCAAAATTTGGGGTGTTATCAGAAAGCAGTAGCACTTCCCAAATATTACTATTTACTTTTCACATGGCAAGGTTAAAGCTTTACGCCTTTTTAAAAATGATGTAAGCCAAAGTAGTGTGTGTAAATCAAAACCTGGGATCTGAACATCATATCTGAACTTTCCCAGCATTCAGGAAGTTTGCAGCTCACTTCCACCATTAGTCCAAAGCAGCTGAAAATCTTTAAAGAACACTAAGTTGTATGTGAAATTTGGTACTGCATGTTCAGGTGATCAGTATAAAAAGATATTTAACAAGATCTCCCCCTTTCACCCGGCTAAAACTTCTATACATTTTATAGGCAAGTTTCAAGTCTGTGCAAGTTCACAACCAGCCTCCTCTCCCCCACAGACAGTATTTATAATGATAAGCTTTTTATAGAAGAAATGGAATTGCTCTGTTCTAGTTTATTACTACTATATGTTGACCTAGTTATTTGAATGTTTACTATATGAATATATTGGTTTAGTTTAATGGAGAGTTGTAGGAAAACAAGTAGGAAGGAAACAATGGCTCAAGATAAGCTACTTCTCCACAAGCCCTTGAGGGTGAAGAGACAATGCTAATACAGGAAAAGCCTGGGAACCAGATGATTAAAAGGATGAGAGTTTGAAAAAGTCTCCCTCTCAGGAGAAGGGGGGAGATGGGACAATCAGATTGACATGCAGACACATGCTGGGATGTCTGAAGAACGTAGGGCTACCTAGCTTACCATCAGGAGACAATAATATAGAGACACGTTTAAGACTTTTAAACTCCTCTTTTCTCTAAATGCTTTGTTCCTGCTGTTAAAAACAAACACCACTTTGGTTTTCAGAAGGCTGTTTGATCAGGAAGAACCGTAGATGCCAGAATTCAGTCCCACCTGCTGAGTAAGCGCTCTCAATACACAGGGTGCAGGAGCCCAGAGCCCTGTCTAGGAGTGGGATAATTGTGGAATTCTACCCAGGATAGGTAAAAGCATTTGTACTGACACCCGAGGGGGTGCACAGAGAGCGTCCAAGGAGACGGAAGCGCAGCTAGCCCTGTGACCTGCCCCTTCACGGTTTCAAAGTAAAAATAATTTAAAACCATCTCCTTGCTTGTTCAAAGTAGCTCCTTAGGCTGTTGGAACAGATTTTAGAAACCTTATTTACTTCTAGACATTTATGCCTTAGTTTCACAGAGTGCAGTGCAAACAGCACACAGACTGGTCAGTGTCAACTGTACATAACGCTCACGTTAACACAGGGATGCTCTGGTTACATATGCTATAAGGACAGTTTAAAGTAATAAAACCCAAAACCCAAATTTTACTAGAGTTTTAAGAAATCATGGGTGTATTTCAATTGAATGCTGCTTGAACACAGCATTGCCTAACTAGGATTCTCTTAAGAAATGCTGAAATCATTTTGTTGAATCCTGTATCTTGAATTAAATGATATTTTAAAGTAACAGCTAAGAGTCCATAGGCCTTCAACAACAAAATCCACCAGGGAGACACTACTGAACAGAATTGTTCTGAATATTGTTTTCTTGAACACAGCTGCTATAATAGGTCCCTAGGGCAGAAGGTTGCTTGGCAACTGGGAGTTATTTACCAATAAGTAATTTAATCTAAGGTCTACATGTTGCAAACTGAACAACGCATTGTGCCTTTAGTCCGGCTTGGTTATGTCATTATGAGGTTAGTGAGGGTAGACAGTTATTCCTGGCAGCAACAATGCAAGTATTAGACATAGTTTTACTTAAAATTATGCTTGAGCAGCAGCAGTAAACACTCAAAGTAAAAGCAGTCAGTGGACCAGATAGCTTCTAGTCTAATTGTAAATAAATTACTCTATAATACACACTTTCAAATCTGGTCAGTCTTCTGGAATGAGTAACCATCCTTGTTATCAAGTCAGTTCCTTAGCAGTTTCATTTTAACCAAGATTTGGTGTCTCTTGTAAAAAAAAACACAAAAAAAACACCACACACACACCCCTCTTTGGATGTCAACCCCAATAAACAGGAGCCAGCGTGTGTGTAGTAACAGAAGTCATGAGCTAGTATTATGCCATTATCCAACAAGTTTGAAAACTACCCTAAAAATTAACGTCTATTTTATAAGAGTAAAAAATATTTCAAAAACAAGTGTATGCAATTGATTACAGATCACACTAATAGTCCAGATACAGCACAGTAAGTGCACTAGAGTATCAATAACTGAAAGGGGCTATCAGACATCTGCTCATTAATGTGCTAGCGTATGGATTGGTAGTAAGTGTGAGTGAGACTGTTTACCTAACCAGCCTAATTTCTTGCTCTTTTGTAACTGGCATTTGCATTTTATTTACTTTTTGTGGCTTCTGGTATGTTTGCTGTCTTCACCTAAAAATATAACCCCACAGTGGCAGAGCGCGCAAGTTAGATTTACAAGCCTCCAGCTGGCAGAAGCTACCTGGATGATGTAAAGGATGCAACTGACCTTTGAACAGCAGGATACCAACTGGGATGACAGCAGCTTGTATTTGCTAGACAAAGGATCTAGACCAGAGTTAGCTCTAGGGAAGAGCTGCTCAGAGAAACCAAAGGTTGAAACAAGCAGCAGCAAGATACAAGACAGAAAGGAAGAGAAATGTGAATTTACAGATGTTTAATATTAAACTGATACTTTAATTTCATGAGAAAAGCTGCAGGGAACGTTAATGAGTCTATGATCATTTTAACTCTTAAAATGCTATCCAGTTTCCAGTGGCACGGCTCTCAAACTGGAAACTTATAGCAGTGGGAGAAGGGAGCAAAGGTGGGTTCCAGAGATGGGACGGAGTGAGGCCTTCAGGCGACTGCAGGAAGGCATTGAACATTTTCAGCACTAGTTTATGGGAAAGTACACTCATTCTCAGAGTTAAAGGTTAATTAAAACTCAGCTTTTACACACAAGTCCTTAACTTTATCATGGACAGCACTTTATCATGGACAGCAAATCAATGCATTTCACATCTCTGCTTTTCAATAAGTTACTAAGAATTACTAATGCTGTCCAGGTCGGTTTCTAATGAATTTTTGTGCACAGTTTAAGAGCCAAAGTCTGCCTCTACCCACCTGGGGTTTGATTTTCAGAAGGGCTGAGCACCAACAGCCTCAAATGAAATCAACAGGAATTGGGGATACTTAGCATCTCTGAATATTAGGCCAATAGTTGCCAGTGGGGAACCCAAAGTAAGCTTCCAGGGTAGAATACATCTCTAAATACACAGAATATTTCAAAGTAAATGTGATTAACTATAAAGGAACACTGTCAGTTTAAAAGCGTGACCAGCTGATCAAGACATCCTTAAGTTTAGTGTACATCTGACTAAAAAGTCAGATATTGAAATGCACTATCTACGGAGTCAGTTTACAGCATGTCACAGGGAGGCTGCATGGGGGCAAGCTGAGCATTACTGCACATTTCAAAGAAGTTGCATGTCATGGTTAAATTCCCAAAATGAATATTAACTGGTCTGGTTCTCTCAAGGTAGACACTGAGTCATTGGTTCTGAGATCATTAACCCAAAAAACTAAAAGCCACCTGCTCAAACAAGGAGATTTTGATTAATAGGATTTCAGATTTACAGTCAGCCATTACAAACTAAAATAGCTTTGTTTGTGTGTTTTACACCTCTAAAATGCACCAGCAATTAAGGGGCAGGTCCACTAATGGTACCAATAGTAAACAAATGAATTGCAAATAAATCCCTCAATTAATAGGACCATCAAATTAGATCAGAATTAGTAACAGACATTGGCTTCTCCCAGGAGAAAAAAGGAAGTGAGGTTAAGTGAAAGTAGTGCTGTCCCACATTGCATGTGTAGCCCTCAGAACTGTCTACAATACCTTCGTTTGCCCTGAAATAGTGTCTTTACGTAGTTTAAACACACCCATCAAAGAGGTGATCTGGGTAGCCCTGGACTTTCATAAAACAAAAATCAGATTTAAGGGATGTCTAGTTCAGGAAAATTATTTGTGAACATCAGCAGTGCTGCCTGGACACAAAACCTCTACCATACCCTGTTCTACCTTGGAGAAAGGACGAACAAAGATGTAAACAGAGAGGAGAAAATAGTACAAAACTATAAGCACTTAAAAAAAGACAGCTTCAATTGCCGTCCCCACAACCCAATGAAATACCCAGGCACCAGAGATTACAGGACTGAGGTCTCCTACCTTCATTGGCCTCTGGTCTGGAATTCTTGATAAATGCAGAAAATTTGGCAAAGATGTCCATTCCAGCGGTGTTTGATTCTGGGTGCTTTGGTGAAAGCTTTAAGTACCTAAGCAGAAAGATGCAATTGTTTGTGGGAATATATTCCAACAGCAGTTCTTCTGTAATATTCAGCAGAAACAATATGACCAGTCAGCCATGTATTTATTAGCATTAAACAGGCAAAGAAATGTGTACACTCTACTTAGGTTATTAACACACTATCAGTGGTTTTCGACTGGTGATCAGCAGACCCGTCGGTATGCAGACTATGTCTCAGACTTCCAAAGAAGTCTTTACCTCCATTTGAAATTTCATAGGGGTCCGCAAATGAAAAAAAGATTGAAAGCCATTGTTCTAGATTATGTGCACCTTTTAAAAAAAACACCACAATTTAGTCATTTTCAGGCCCAAAATTTAGGTTTACAAGATCCAAATGGAAATGTTGGTAGTGTTTTTTTAAAACAAATATCAATAAACTGTGTTGATTTAAACAGTTGCAATGTTGCAATGAAACAGTGCCATCAGAATCAGAAAATAAAACTGACTGCCAAATGTGAAACTGGCTGTTCTACTTTCACTGTAAAACTCAGTGATCTGCAAATACTGAACAGCATAAACAGTGAAAGGTAAACTCAATTTTATTAACTTAAATTGGTATCAACAACATGCAAGGAATTTTAAAAAAACAAATTATGTTTAACCCAAGTGCCTTCCCCTTTAAAATGTTCTTTAGACTTATCTCAATGTGACTAAACTATCTATAACATGAGTCAGGACCTGGAATTCTGAAGAACTTTAGTGCTTATTTCTGCGATAAGGATTACCAGAGGACCTGCCAATTCCACTGGAGAATATGAAAAAAAACCTACATACAGCACGTAAAATGGGTATCCAGTTACACCGAGGGTCACAAAGCTAGCATTTCTGAGCTGGCTGTGGGTTTTAGTTACATGTTCACCAGCAGACCTTTAACATTTTATGTTATTTACATATTTGTAAAGATCAGGAGACTATAAAATGCCCAGCTAAGCTTTACAAACAAAAATGTTAATGCACAACCCTGTGCAAAGGGAAACACACTGCTCTCCTGAATACTGAGATCTCTGTCCTATTGCTCCGTTCTATGAAGTAGGGATATTTTTAAAAGGTTCCCTGTCACTGTGTAACTGGAATCTCTTGATCGATACAAGCAATATTGTCAGGGCCTGCCCAAGGATGTTTAGAGAGCCCTGAGCAGGGGGAAAAGGGTTGAGTGTTGGAACAATGTGGCAGCCACCCTGATTGCCCACCCCTTACGCTGGCCCTGAATATTGCTATGTCAGTTACATTGAACAAAGAATAGTGCTCATTCTTGCCTAGTTAATGACAGGCAAACTTATACTTATTTAAGTCAAGACTGCACTGATACTTTTCCTAAACATGAAAATTGGAATATTCAGTCAGTGTGAGACTTGAAGCATGTACATGTTGACTAGCTTTCTAGATTTCTGCTGAAGTTATATTTAGAGATTTTCGGTATTAGTGCCCTTTTATTTTTTCCCTAAAATAAGAACCAAATGTGTTCATATTATGTATTACTTGTCTGCTGCCTTTTTTGAGACTAGACATAAATTTATAGCACTAAAAATGTTTGTTTTCCATGTTTCTCTTCCCAAATGATACTGGTTACTCAACTGAGATTCAGTTGGTTTTAAAAATTGCCATATATGCAGTTTTTTCAACTTTCATCTCCCAAAACCAATAGCCACGAGACAGAGCAAATGACTACAGTCTTGTATTAAAAAAAAATAACCTTACTAAGCTCTGTTGTAATGTAATTTGATCAGGAGCATCAAAACTAATTTGAAAATGGTTTATAAAAACCATGTTAAGCAATTAAAAAATATGCCTATCAAATATCTCTGTGCAAAGTAAACAGTAATACTGATGTGTGGGAAGTGTTTTGAAGAGAATTTGTCACTGTCTAATGTTAATCAACTAGTTTAAATGAGAACTAGGTTTGAAGTGACTTTTGGAACCCTCCCACAGGGCCAAAAATGAGTAGTGGTGTCCAAATGCACCACCACCCACTCACTTGTTCCTTTCCCCCAGAGGATTCCCCTACTACTCACTGAATATCAAAATAAGGGATTTTAATAGCAATTCTTAATTCCCAGATCCCTCCCTCTCGTGGACTAGCCATTGAGACTTAGGCTACGTTTACACTATGGACCTTACAGCAGGACAGCTGTACCACTGCAGCTGCGCTGCTGAAAGGTCTCTTGTGTAGCCTCTCTTGTGTAGCCACTTTTGTTGGTGAAACTTATGTCGGTTGGGGGGGGGGGGGGAGGAGGCTGTTTTTTCACACCCCTGACCAACAAAAGTTTTGCTGACAAAAGTGCTAGTGTAGACAAAGCCCAAGGGTATGTCGACATTGCAGTAAGAGGTGTGGATGCAGCGAATGCAGACATACACAAACTAGTTTTGATCTAACTAGTTCAAAAACCAATAGCGATGAAGTCACGGCAGCATGGATAGCAGCACAAGTAAGCCACTTCAGTACATACCCACGTCCTGGGTGGGGTTGCAGAGCTCAGGCTGCCATGGTGTTGTTGCTATTGTTGTTTAAGCTAGCTAGTTCAAAGCAATCTTAAATAATGTCTACATGTGCTGAAGTCACAGCTCTCATTGCTCTCATTGCAGGGCGAGCTCAATGATGTCAACTACCTCAAAGTTTGGATCAGAGTTTTTGATTTAACCTATTATACACAGAGGCCATTCCCAGAAGTTTATCCTAGACTTTGAACACCTTCAGAGTTGATGGTTGAGATCCAGGGTTTTACTCAAGCCCACCTTTAACTGGAGACCACTCACTGTCCCTAGACTCCTCTAAAATTGGTGCAAACCCCTGCAGATTATACATAGGGTTCACACATTAGGTAAGGACAGCACTTACAGTATGTTGCACAAAAAGGTAGTCAAAACTCAAGAGTGGTTTACAACATAAAATCCAATCAGAAAAAAATTAGATTAAAAAATAAAGTTGCTTTCTGATCAACAAGAGATGGTTTTATTAGTGTACAGTAAAACAATCTCACTGGTAATTGATCAGTCCCTTTTGACCTTCCTTTTTTCAGATGACTGAATAAACACAATGGCTCTTTTCTATTCCAAGAACAGCTTAAGATGGACTGGTATGTTTGATGTTCATAGTTCTCAGCTCGAAGAAACAGACTTTTTGTAACCTTAACTTTCTGACCCTTTCCTATGTGGGATAAAAATAACTCAGTTCATTTACTCTTACATCTACATAGTGCCTGTTGCCCCAAAAAGATATGAAAATGCTCGCAGATGTTAATTTAATTCAAAACACTCTTAAAGCAAAGTGTGTGTTTGGAAAAGAGAGAAGACTTGTTTTATGGACAGTCAAGTACATTATCTGTCCCAATAAATTTTCTACTTGTAGAGAACTGGACAAGTCCTGCTCCAGATTCTCTTAAACCACCCTGGGGTAAAGACTATAATTACACACTTCTGCTTTCTGGAGCAAGCATATACAATCAAGCACATGGCGCTTTTAACATAATAGAGGGGGATTACAGTGGAAAGCTGCCCCCCTTATCACTGCAATCCAGTGCTCAGGGAATGGAAAATTGGGTTTGATATACAGTACAATAACTATACACAGCCATACAGTCTGCTTTGCTCCATTAGTCCTGCCAGCCCAAGGGAAAAGAGACATTTTTAAAAACATGTGACTTAAAAACCATCTGTCCCAGAAGATACGTGGTCATTGACCGCAAGATTCCGAACAAGAGAAAAAGAAAAGTGTGATGTTCCAGAAATCCTTCCTCTTCCTGAAGGCTCAGAGGAGAGAGAGCTCAGCTAGCCAGAGACGACCCATGTCTGATCAACACCACAGCCTGCCAGTTGGCGTGTAAAGGGTACTTGATACAGGTTCCTGCTCTCACATTACATAATCTAATGAATAAAACATGTATTCACATTTTTCCATCACAATTTTGACAGGCTTAAGGCTCAACCTTAGTCTCACGTACACATTTAGAAGCGGGGAGCCTATCATCATGCGTGGCAAGATGGGCCCAAGCCACAGAAAGCTACTGCCAACTTGCACATAGATATGATTGATTCTGCAAGGTATACACAATGATTATCCTTTTTCTTATTCAATAAGCTAGGAAGGAATGAGGAAAAGCTTTCTAATGGAAAACATGCAAGTCACTGACATTTACCATCCTTACTTGAAATGAACTTTTCATTTTAACCTAAACGGCTGAATGCCATGTCTTTTACTTCTAGAAGAATGTCTGCAAATACAAATCTTGCAAAAGACCATAAGGAGATCACCAGAAAATAGGTTTCCCTAATGATTTAATGTTAATGCACAGATATATAGTTCTGCGAAGTGGGGCCCCATTTTCAGTTACACGAATACAATCTTATTAGCAAGGCCTATGTATCCTGCCTCCCTTCTAGCTCACAGCCCCACCCTAAACCACCAAAAATGAAAAATATTCAGGCTCCAACATGCATGTACAAAATGGTAACCGTTGATTACAGATAACCTCTAGTCTATTTCCACGTTGATTTCTTCCTAAACAAATGGGTATTTATAAAATATGTGGCTTCTGGATGAAATATTTAAGGCCTCAATCCACATTACAAAGATTCAGATTTTAGTTTGTTGATATGGAAAGCATCTTAAACTTGGTTAGCAATAATACTTGCACTATTTATTGCAGGAAGCTTCTCCATAAACAGGAATTTAAACAAAGCAACACCAACAAACCTGAGGCCAGACACCCATGCTACTGTTACCAAATAACCTGTTTCCAAATACATTTTCCACACAATACTTACTTGGGTGGACACAAGACATCTTCAAGGAACTCTTCAATCTTGTTCACATCTGTTTTCACCTCACTATTGTAGGTAATAAAGGGTGGATGAGTCCCCGGAGCCAAGTTCTGTAGGTCTGCTGGTTTCCTATGGTGCAATGCAAATATGATACAAAACAATTTTAAAAGGAACAAGTGAGCACAGTACAACCATGATCCCAGCTATCAATGCTACCTCTGATTATAGAGGTACTGCCTGAGGCCAATCTCTGCATGCCAGCTCTGCCCCTCCAAGAGTTAACACGAGCATCAGTGGTGAAACTGTGTTTTCAGTAAGCAACAGCATATGAAAGGGAGTTCAATGCCTTGCAATTTCATGACAACTACACTTGTAAAGTTTTTAATCTCAATGTATTTGTGGTACTTCAAAGTTTGCTTTAATTCTTAATTAGCTGTTTTCAGATCTCCTTTATAGGAATAGTAGAATACAGTAGAACCTCAGAGTTATGAACACCTCAGGAATGGAGGTTGTTTGTAATTCTGAAATGTTCGTAACTCTAAACAAAATGTTTTGGTTGTGTTTTCAAAAGTTTACAACAGAACATTGGTTTAATACAGCTTTGAAACTTTACTACACGGAAGAAAAATGCTGCTTTTAACCATTCTAATTTAACTGAAACAAGTACAGAAAGAGTTTCCTTACCCTTATCAAAAAAAATTTTTAAAACTTTCCCTTTATATTTTTAGCAGTTTATGTTTAATACAGTACTGTCCTGTATTTGCAGTTTTGTTTTGTTTGTTTGGGGTCTCTGCTGCTGCCTGATTGCATACTTCCGGTTCCAAATGAGGTGTGTTGGTAACTCTGGTGTTTAACTCAGAGGTTCTACTGTATATAGTTATTTTGAGATGTTCAGGATTGTAACTTCTTTCCTCACCGTCAGGTCTGTTTTACCCCCAATGTATGTTGGTACATAGAGCAACCTGCATGGAACCTGTCTGCATCCCTAATACCTCTACCTCTCCACATACAAATTTTTCCTAATGGATATAAATTAAACCAGAAATAAATTAAAACACCACGCATGCCATTCTTTGCCAACAAAAAAAAACAACAAGCAGTAAGGAGAAAAGTGTGCCCTAGTAACAATCTAAGAATAGGAGGCTATTTTTTTTCTCTAAGTAAATATTGAGGAAAGTAAGATTTTCCTGGCAAGAACCATGGACTTGGGGTGGGAAGAGGAGGATATCACTGACTGGCACAGTCATAGGTACTTAGATTCTACAGAGATGAGCAAGGAGGCATCAAGTCTTTTTATAAAGAGATTTGGTGACACCTCTTGCTTTCCGGGATGTCTACCCACAATGTCTCTCACGCTGTATTTATCAAGCCTAGCTAGTTTATTTTATGGGCACTTGACGGCTGCTCCTTTTCCCTTAGTTGGTAGTGGTGTAGAGGTGACAGCATGCGACATTGCAGGCACACATCTAAAAAGCTGTGTGCCAGCTACACGTGCATCCGTCCACTCACATTCATTCTGACTCGTGTAATTTATTCCTTTCAACACAAGGTGTGTTTGCACATCTGCTATTTCATTTGTAGCATCAGACATAGGGAAGCAGAGGGACATTTAATGTTCGAGTGCAGAAGATGAGAAGTTCAGGCACGGGATAGGAATAAAGGATGCAGGCTCTGAATCCAGTCTCATCTAAAAATAGCTCCCTTTAAATTCTCTCCTATAAGAAACCCCCATGGAATGCAATACTTCCATGTTAGTGTGACAGTCTTAACTCAAACAGGAATTACAATACTATGTGTCAACTTTTCATCAGTCTTATAGCGGAAGTTAAATCCTGGACTGAAGCCAGTGATTCTTTATGGTCAAGAACAGTTTTCTCTGGCAAGCATAAATAGGAATTTGAGGTTATTTTCATGCTCTAGATTATTTTAGGGTGTAATTGATAACATGATTCTCAAACCAAAACCCTTGTCCACACTAATCAGCGAAACTATGCTAACAGCAGTAAGTTTAAGGAAGATTGTTTCCAACTCGTGTGGAAAAGCACAGGGGTGTGTGGATAACATCTTTAAATTTAGTTAATCAAGTAACTATAGGTATGCCAGTTAGTACTGCAGCAATCAGACAGTGTAAATTCCTACAGAATTTAAACAAGATATGCTAGATTTCATTCCCTGGCTACAACACAAACCCTTTAACAAAGGAAGTAGCAATAGCCATAAAAAGGCTCTAAGGCTTTGGCAGATGTACACAGGATCATTTGTACTTATGCTATAAGCATACCTATGAATTACATGCAGCTGAAATTACATGCAAAACTAAACCAGAGACTTCACTCTGTACTGTCAGTACTCAGGCACCTCAGTGTTAAGATTAAACACCCACTTTTACTCTGGTGGCATTTTAGTGAAGATGGTAGAAGTCAGATATTGAGGCAAATGTGGCAATTTTAATTTTCCGAAGTAGTTCTCACTCATTGCAGAGTGCCATTCCTATTTGTCCTTTCCACCCACTGTTTTATGCCAGAGGGCTCTGCGAGTCAATTCATACCTTAACTTTGTATTAAAATACAGCTCTGTACACCCGCAACAACTGCAGGAAGCCATCCTGGCTCCCTTCCAATTTTGCACATTGACTAGATAAATAAATGCAGCCAAAACCACTTGCAATAATGCTATCAAGGAGAAGGTTTAATTTGAGAAACAGACAAGACTTCACACTAATGAAATATCAAAAGGGAAGGTTTCTACATGATTTCAAATGACATTAAAGTAATTTATTAGCTGCACTGTGTCCTTAAATAAAATGGACATATGAAAACAAAGCATGTGGAATACTGTATAGACACCTGTGCAGTATAGAATATTGGGTCAACACAGCACATTTCACCCAAGGATCTCAAAGCAATTTACAAACAAAACCTCAAATGCTGTGATGTTTGCCTCCTTCCATTTTGAAAATGAGGTAACAGGCACAGAGTTTAAGGTCCAGTAAGTACACAGCCAGGAACAGAATGCAGGAGTTATGACCCACAGTTTGCTATGCTAACCATTAGATCATACTTATCTTAGAACTACAAGCCATAACCTCAAAGCCACAATCTCAAATGCTATTTGATTATCTATGGGTACATCTACACTGCAGCTGACAGCATGTTTCCCTGCTTGGGCAGACAGACATGCACCAGCTCTGCTCGAACTAGCATGCTTAAGAGAGCAGCGTAGCTGGGCAGTGGCTCAAGCCAGCTGAACAAGTACATATCTGGTGTTCTAGGCAAGTTTGTATTCCGGCAAGTAGCTGGTGCTGCTGCCCATGCTATACCTGGCTACACTGCTTTTACTGCACTCGCTTGAGGAGAGATAGCATGTCTGCCTACCTAAGCTGGGAAGCACCTTCCCAGCTGCAAGGTAGAGTTACCCTATGAATGCAGTGGCATGTCCTTAAAAGAGCTTATCAGAATCTTCTCAGGCCACATGGCCTGTCTTCACTCCTTTGAAGTTCAGGGTTAGAGGCCAATGGTGTGCTTTAAAAGCTGTATCCCAGAAATTACAGAAAACAGAATTTGGTTATAAATGACTTGACTGGATAGCAAAGTGGCCTATTAGCCCTTATATGAAAATTAGAATGAAAGTTTTAGTATATATTGTGCCTAGGCCCTAGGGGCTGCAACAGAAATCTTTAAACAATTCTTGTCTCTGTCACTGAGCTTCTAAAAAGTCACCATATAGATATCTACTTTGATTTGCAGGTGTGGGCTATACAAAGTTTACAGCTCAGATCTATGTTGGGGCTTGTCTACATGGTGCCTTACTCTGCACCAGCTAGGATGCAACATTTAACGAGCACCAGTGTGTTGCACACTAACTGGCCCATGTTTTTGGAACAGGACTACATTAATGCACATAAGCAAACTTTTAGCACGCACTAGCATGGGCCAATTAGAATTTAAACCCCAGCTGGTGCAGACTAAGGCACAGCGTAGATAGGCCTTTATTAACAGCAATTTGTCCATTTAATTATCTGGTGACAACAACTGAAATCTAGTCTGGATATTTACCATATTTTAGGAAAGTAATCTTGTCTGAACTCGATGGTTAACATGGACTATGGTAGGGTGTAAATTTAAAGCACAAAAGCTGCTCCTAATCATGTCCAAGTGTAGACTCTTTTATTCCAGACCTCTTGCTTCAGAATAACTGTCCACACACGGAGTTGATCAGGAACAACTCTGTGTGTACACAAGCCCTTAAAGTTGAATAGCGTAGTAAAAGCCGGGGCAGTGGGTTAGCATGATTGAGTGGTGTTTATCTGATACATGCTGAAGCAAAATCTCCAAGAATCACTGGATAAATACATTGGTAAATAGAAAACTTTCCTCCACCTTACACAGGCTATTGAAGATGTGATTTTATGTATGGGCAGTCCTTGAATGTTTAGGGGTGGAGGTTAGTTATGGATTGGGTGTCAATTTTATAAATTTGAAGAATAGTCTAAAAATAGAATCTCAAAAGGTGTAAACTAATGCTTCCAAACAGGATTTCTAAATTAAATTGAACACACACTTGCCTTGAATTTTATTACAAGCTTAACAGTTTTTACACTGCTCCAGTCATCAGAACAAGTTAAATTTCTGCACATAAAAAGTTGTTAGTGAAAAGGGAAAGAATAGAGCCTCTGTCTTTGACTGCATAGAAGCAAGAAACATTTGGTCTTACTGAAATGCTGGTATGTCTCATTTAATTCAGTCTGTGTGCATATCTTCTCGTGCCCCTAGTAACTAATAGTTGAACTGAGAACTGCAAAATATTCTTTTGTTTGCACATTACTATATTTAACACAATTTAGGAAAGGAAAATACACATCATAAAAAGTAAATCAAATAAGACTCAGTTCTTCTGGTGTATCCCAAAGTTACTTATTTGTGAACTTTTGTACCAAACCATGACCTGCTAAGACAACTACAGAATTGAATTAGAGCTCCCTTAGATCTTTCATTTAAGGCCAAACACTGACCTTATAGTGTCAAAAGTTAGTTAATGCAAACGAGGCCTGCTATTGTATACGAATTGTATTGTACTGTCAAGCAAGAGGATAGTTTGCAAGTATACCCACAATTTCTAAGTTAGTGAGATAAATTAATGAGTGAAAAGTTCTCAGCACCTAATTTTCACAAGTTTGTGGCTGTCCATAACGGGACAAAACAGGAGTAGCAAAGTTTGGAAAGTGAAGCTTAAGAATATGTACAGCATGTTAAATTTGGGGGGGGGGGGGGGGAGTATAAAAGAGCATACGATACTCATTGAATACTGTATTCCTGGAAGCCATTCCTAATGGCACTATTATGAATATGGGGACAAATGCCAGCACCCGTTCTTCTCTTGGTAAATGGTAGAAAACCTACATGTAAATAAGGCTCCAATTTAATCAAAACATTCAACTACTCTTATGTGCCAAGCAGCACTACTGCTAGGCACTGGTAATCCAGGCACATTGATCAACAAGTTAACAGCAAAATGTTAGCCTTATTTTGAACTTTTTTTTTTAAACAAAGATTAACTTGATATCCCACCACTATTCAAGATTTTAATTACTTGTAGTGACTGCAGATGTGTCCCTCTATCACAGAGCACACATCCATCACTATAAGGTCAGGTACAAAACAAAATCCCAGCTGGTTTTCTCTAGTTCTATTTCTCAGTTTTGAATCTACTTTGCATTTTTTCCCCTAAATCAAAACCTAGAGAACTAGAAGGAAAGACTTATTAGGATGGAGAGAGGATGACTGCAAGAGGTTTAAATTAAGTTAAACCTGAAATTTCTTTCCATTAATGCCCAGATGCGAAGGGTATACAGAAACAATGCAATCTGAACAGAAATCTTTTGCATTTCTAATTACGTGTCTGACATGAGAAGAAGTGACCCAGATACTTCTGATGCTTATAAATACATAATGGGTCTATTAACATGGTCCTCTAATTTTTTTTTTCCAGAAGTTGCACTGGGTTTTTAAAGTACGCAATCAATAACAGCAATGAGAGCCCAGAGCTAAAACCCTGTAGAAGCCTGTTTTGGAGGGTCTACAAGCCACACAGTTAAATGGAAGGTTCAGTACATGTAGTTTATGTGAGTTGGAAGCAACACCAATGTTTACAAGGAAATCTTATCCAGCCCAAAGAACTTTATAACATTGCTACAAATGCAGGCATGTCAAAGACTTTTCTTTTAAATGTGTCCTGTTTCATGGCTGTATGAAGGAACAGTGAATACCTACACTGGATTACCAGTATGGAGTTAACCTCAATCTGTGGTGCTAAAAGGTTTCTGTTCCAATGCTAGCAATATCAACAAAAGCTAAATCAACTAGTTTGTTATTAGAAATAGAGTTCAGGATGTCTCATGCTGGCCTCCTTTTGCTAGACTTTTTAAAAAAGCTCTGACTGCAATATCCACATACTTCTTTGGTTTTACTCTTAGGCAAACACAATACATTATGTTCTTTAATATTACTTACAAACTTAATTTTTCCTATTGGGAGTAAAGTCTAGAATGCCATAGGCTTTCCTTTCTTCTGCCACTTCAAAGTTAGCTAAATTGATAAACATTTGTTTTCAACCCAGATTAGTTTTATTAAAAAACTTACTTCGTACCACACACTAAAACAACACTCTACTGAACTTAACGTTAGGTAACACAGTGGGCAGAGTCAAGGCCTGGGAAATCAGGATACCTGGTTTTGTTTCCGGCTCTGTCACCATACGGTTCTGCATATCCATTGAGCTAATCATTTCATTTCTGCACTACCGTTTCTCCATTTACAAATGGGCATAGGTTGATACAGACCTGATATTTGTAAAGTGCTATATAAGAGCAGACTATATTACATTGGATTTCTACTCATTCTCTTATTGGGAAAGTGTTCCTTCTACCAATGTAAGTTTGTGAAAATGCCATCTTTGTTTTTATTATGTGATGATAGCAGGGCTTATCTTAGAGATCTGAAAAGGAGGATTCTAAGAGTTGCGTCCCACAATCTGCAATTACCCAAAAAACTCATGGGTAGTTTGCCTGTAGGTCAGATGATCTTTAGGATCCATCCAACGATTCTTCATTTGGCAAAATTCCTTTGCAATGAATTATGAAGCAATTCTTATTTGTACAAGACCATACGTAAACTACTAAGTTATGCAGTAAGAGTACATCATTAAAAACCAGGCACAATCCAAATGCAAGGGCCATTCCATGCTGGGTTCTTTTCTGAATTATAGATTTTCATAATCTGTCATTACTGAATGTCCTGCATATTTATTATCCTGCAATACAATATTCACTTTCAATGGCTAATTGTAAGAGACCAACTTATCAGTGTGTTCTTTAAAGAAACTGGATTGGAAAAAACTCATCTGTTCTAGGAAATATTAAGGGTGTGTGCCTTGTGACAAAATATTTTTTAATTATACTGAGTGATTTTCTGTGTGGTGTGGTACAGAAAGGCTTTCCAACTTTCACTGTCATGCAATACAAATTTTCAGGTATGCTGGAAAGCTAAGGAAGCTATAACCACATTGGGTCATATAATTCCCACTAAGATACACTCCATTCACCCCTTGTTAATAAGAGCCAGGAATATATAAAGTGATCTGTGTGACAGAATATACTTTATTTTGTATCCTATTTATGGCATACACTACAGATGGCCTTTGGGAAGCAAGTGTATATTTCTCTCCTAGCTCACGGATACAATATTTGATTCTAGGTTACTGTCCCGTTTGTCTCACTCTAACCAGAATTGTGTTGAGCCACTCATATTAAAAAGGACAATGCCTTTGAGGTTCAGGGCATTATATTAACTCGACTCGATGAAGCTGCAAAAAAAAAAAAAAAAAAAAAGGAAACTTTGCTGAAAATTTGACAAGTGCTACATTTTGTGTGTCACGTGTGACAATTTAGTCATATAGATACAATTCAGTGTCTCACACAGGAATATGGTTGTTCTGTTAATGAAGCACTGATCATCTAAGCCTCTGTGCATGGCAAAAGTTTTCCAGATAAATGATCAAGCAAGCATAGCACATTAAAAATAAAAAACAGGAAAGATAAGAGTAACTGAGGCCTTGAGACCAATCTCCACATCTCAAAAAGGTAAGTAAATATAGGAATTTGTTCAAAACTGAAAGAGGCTGAATCAGCTTCTCAAACTGTGTATGGATTATGAGCCAGTTATCTATAGTTCTTGTTTAAGTCAGTGTCCTATGTTACTTGTTCGGTTATCAGTTAAGGCAGCATCCATTAACATGTCTTCCCATGCGTTAGCTTTGCAGAAGCCATCATTGGACATTAAAGCTGGCTTTCAATAATGTAAACAGATGTGAGAACTCAAATCAGGCAAGATCTTGCAACCATCATGCAGTGACAGACACCGCCAAATTAGTATTCGACCATAAGTGCTTTAGAGAATATACCCATGGCACAGTAATTGGTGCAAGAAGTCAGTCATGTTTGAAATAAGATGTACTAAGTAAAATTTGGAAGCCTTAGACCTACACAACACACATCAGATTGAGAAATGAAGCTACTGTACATTTGGCAGAGAAACAATGTTTCTTACCTCTTCAAGTCAACCGTTGTGACACTAAACACTACTCCCTTGAGCCACAAAATCATGAAAAGTCTCTGTGAAAAGGGACAGTTTCCTATGCTTTCACCATCACTGCCAGCCTGTGAAAGAGAAACAGGTCATTAATATCAAAGGGTAGCAGTAGCTGCACAATCCATTCATTCAGTGTCTCTCACACACACACACCCCTCCCATTACTGGAAGCTCCTGAAATAAAAGCAGAGACTCAGTAGTAAGGTCTATGACTAAGTTTTACTCATCCTGTCTGCACCATGCCAGTACAGACGCTCCCCAGGTAACGCAAGACCTGACTTACACTAATTCACGCTTATGGAAAAAGCTCCGTAAGCCAGAAATAGGATTTTTGAGTTGCGGAAATTTTTACTTAATGTTTCCGACTTACGCAAAATTTGCATTATGCAAGGCTTTCTAAAAGGGAATGATTGCGTAAGTTGGGGAGCATCTGTATTATGCACCATTAACAACTCCCAGAGTCTCATCCTGACAAACACTGGGCTCAGAGTAAAGACTGCGAAGGATTCTCTGGGAGCAGTCCTTTGACTGTTCAAAAGTCCTGCTCAAGTACCCGGAGGGATATCCTCAGATATTACCATACAATACCCAACGGAGGGGATTCCTCAGCATGCTTTAAATGAATATTTCCAGAATTGTTGTGTTTACCATCCTTAGTATAGTGCATGAAAAACAGATTTAAAAGCTTTATTAAAAATATTTCTATTAGACATCTGTCTTTCATTTTATCCTTTAACCCTCTGTGGCAGGGAGCTCTATCAATCCTATTGCACTTAAGTGGCTAGAGGTAGAACTTCCAGATTGGCTACACTGGGGGTTGAATGTACACGCCAAAGTATTATTTGTATTTAAGAATATCCTACAGAGTGTTAGATGCTGTCCACACAGGTAAGGCAAAATTCCTGTTCCAAAGAGCTTACCATCTAAGATAAGCAACATATGAAGGATGGGAATAGAGGGATAAGCCATACCATCAAAATGATATATTGTGCTTCCCAACTTCCCCTCTAAACAACTAACCTTGGTGAGTTAATTTCTCACAGGAGCCATGGTAGAAATATACATTGAAGATAAGGGAGTTGCTTTAGGAGTCCGTTTCCATGTGGAAGGCTGTCTCAAATAGAAGGTTTTGGTTTGAATCCAACACAGACTGGTAGTGATTGAAAGTTATCACCGGATGGCTGTTCAGCCACCTGCATAAAACCAAGTTGGGGGTGGGGGAAGTCTGTGTCCCATTCCCAAAGGACAGATGTTTATCTCACAAAACCATCAGAACAAATGGAACCGCAACTGACTTCCCCAAAGGGGGCGGGGGGTAGGGAGGGAGAACTGTATGAGCCATTGACATTGAATCCCCTCATCCCAAGAAGTCACAGTGAGGAACAAACAGGGCAGGGAGGAGAATTGCAATATATGCATTTTAATCTCAAGAGTATAGAAGACTTTCTACTCTCCCTCCCATCTGGCAGCACCATGCAAAACCCTACTCTCCCATGTGCTGGTGATGTGACTTATAAATACATTCAGGTAATAATAATATAAATACATTTACACTGTAAGACGGTGGTGAGCATTAAAAGGAGCATGACAGACACACTGGCCACACACATCTCCATCCTAAATAAGGTGCCAACCATGGGAAAAGCTACAGCTAATAACTCTTAAACTATTAGCTCTTGCCCAGGCACTGGTTTGTTGTGCTCCCAATGACTCAAAGGAAATCAGCAGTGAGGGATAATTAAGGAGAGGTGTGAAGTGCATGCCTCCCTTGGGAGCATCAACTTGGATGCCTGAATCTGTTTTGTTTGTTGCCAAGTTGCTTTTTATTAGTCATTTGTTATGACCTTTGTACGATGATTCTTTGCAACAAAGGCAGGACTGGCATTTTAGTAGAGATGTGAATTATACTGAGGTTTTGCATACTTGCAAAGCTGAGTAACCCATTTGCTTCTCATTTCCTTCAATGACTGTTTATGGATATTTTTAAACAGTTTTTGATGTACATAAAAATAGCTCATCTTTCAAGTATTAGATGAATCATGAGCTTTTTAACATTAAGTGGCAACTAAACTTCTTCACATGAACACACCTTTTGATGGCAACATTCCAACAGATCATTCTTTGTGGATCTTTCCATTTATTTCCCTTCTTTTGGGGAAAATTGCTATAATAATGTTCTACCGCATTTCTGGTACCCCTCATTGAGTGAGAAGTACTGCAGTCAGCCAATTGCAACTAGTGACTTTGTATCTCAATTATATTGTGGATCTTTTGATGAAAAGCAAGATTCACTATCTGCAGTTATAAGTGACATCATGGTAAATCTATTAAACATTGAAAAGTCAGGTAATTAGAACACTTGACCAGTAGTTCAAGAAAAAAAAAGGCCTAAGTGTTAAAGAAGTCTAGAAGCAATCTTAAGGTTTCATCAATCTTAGGGCTTTATGGTCATTAAATTCCTTTATTTTTAAGGTAAGAAATAGAAGTACATCTAAAGTTGACCATTAGAAGGATTAAGTTTTTAAGTTTGAAAAAGTTTTATCCTACCTACCTCCATAGAAGTCATCTAATAAAAATAAAAGATCATTGAACTGTTGCCAATTCATGACTATCACAAGTCCAGCTGGATTTGGAGTTTTGCTTGAAGTCCCAGCTCCTGGAGTAATTACTATAAAAGAATCTCAGTTTTTATTTTGAAATGTAAGTTTCTAGCCCTCATGGTTCTGTAGACAAGCTTGAAAATGTGAAAATGTCTAAAGGCTCAGAGACTAGAAAGCAACTGAAAACAAAATGTTTTTTTAAAACCTCACGATAAACTAATCTCATGATTTTGAGGGGCCTAACTCATGATTTTTGACACTTGGTATTGATCATAGTGTATCTGCCATCTGGGAACAGGCTACAGTAGAAACTCCTCCCCAGGGACTTTCCTCCATTTCGTCAGATTAGTCACCTGAGTTGAGAAGCAGATGGAAGTTTTGCAAAAAGCTCTGCTACTGTAATATTCAGTAATTGTCCTGGGCAGAGTTTCTTCATATAGATCCACTTCAATGAGGTTTATAAGCTTAGAAAAGCATCCTCACTCTGGGAACTCTTATGAACACTAAAGATGCAAATACGCTGTAGGAACTGGTACCCCAAAGACCCACCAGGTCCCGACAAGCTGCAGCACTTCTGCTCTACAGAAACAGAGTGGTTCTTGGACTCAGTGGTTCTGATCCTGTAAAACTCAATGCCCGCATCACTCTCAGCCTGCAGACTGCATGAAGTTCAGAGAGTTCACAAGTCAGTAAACAACTGCAGAAGTACCAGTAATCATTCAAACATTCCAAAACTCCTCAGAGGCACAAGCCCCCAAATAAGGACACTTGAACAAACAGAGTTTGGAATCTGCAGACCAAGTCACTTTTCAGACAGGATGTTGCAAAAGAGTCAGAACATTCTGCAACTAGTAAAATACTTATGAGACCGTTTTAAAAATCAGAAGTACCACAGGAGCTTCTGGAAGGCAGCCACTAGAAATTTCAGGTGGAGTTAATTGATTTTATTTTAAACACACACAAAGCCAGAAAGGAGTCACAAATCTGGTTTATAATGGAGACACAGCTATTGCCTTAACTGCAAACCTTGTACTAGGACTCCATCATCAGAGCTTCCTAATGATACTAAACTTCAACAACCCCTTTTCTCAGCATTTCTCCTCAAACACTAGTCTTGTTACCACAAATATCCCTTTTGTCAGGCTGCCCCCTTCTTTTGAATTATTTGCTACAGAAGGGACAGAAGACTGTTTTAGTCACCTTTTTACCATCATCATGTAAGATTTCAAGGAAGAGAAAGACAAAACCCAGGCTAAAGAATTGCAGATTGCGCCTCCTTAGTATAGCTCAAAGTAAAGTATTCAGTACCCTGGAGATACTAAATTTTACTGTATGCCAGTGGGAATGTAACGGCTATGATACTGAAACATGAAAAGTCTCTGTAAACAGCTCACCCCGTCCCACGACAGTAATCAGCAAGGAGCAACTCCTAAGGGAATGAACAGTATACTTTGGTCAGAGAATACTACAAACTAGCTTCTCACCACTAACATTTTCATTTAAAAGTATTCGTTCCTGTAGGTCCCATTGCACTAGTTTAACTGTTTGATTTCCCACGCCCCTTTGGTAGGAGAAGAATAAACTAAGCAGAAGGCCCATATAACCAAACTATGCCAAAATACTAGACAAATCCACAGAGCTATTCTACTGTGTACATGTAAAAATTGTCCAACACTCTATCAAATGACCTTCAGTAATAAAGTTATATATAGATGTTCCTATATCATAACATACTGGTGAGAATGGATTGTGCCACCAGGATCAGCACTCACTACGTAGCCAGTTTCAGATGAGAGTGCTTCTTTATGGATAGAGGGATCTCTAACACATGCTATTACCTTGGCAGTTAAATTCATGTCTTATGCATTATTGCTACTGAGAGCTTTTGCACAGATATAGCTTCATGAATGCAGTTCCAACAGGGCAAACCTCTACTGTGGATGCATGCCATGGTAGACTTTACACATAGCTGTAGTTATACTGGTGCAAAAAAGTATTCCTGGTCTACCCAAGTCTTACCATGTCAATAACGCAAAGGAGTTCCAGGATCGAACATGTTACACTTTACCGAGCACCACAGCATTTGGGCGAGTTTTTACTTACAGCAGTCTCCCTTTCAAGATTTATTTTGCCCAGTACGTTCAAGATTCCAAGGGTCTAGAACTATTCTCAATTCATTGAAAAGCTGGTAATAGTCCTTCCTCTTCACTTTTTGCAGAGGGTCTCAATCTTCCCTCAACTAGTAAAGAACCTGTTTCACGTAGCATGTTTGGCCAAAGGCCTTCTCTATATGTGGACTGGGAAAAACCTTCAATTACACAGCTTTACCTTGGGCTCTAGTAGATGAGGCAATCGCTTGGACTTTCCTACATGCCTTAAATGCATGGAAGATCCCTCCCACCAGATGAAGCATATTCCTAGCCTGAATGCTAGTCCCAGTGTAGGTAACTGAATCCACCATCTACTGG